CATAAAAACATCAAAGATCTAAGAAACTGTCTCGGGGGGTTTCTCAGGGGTGGTTCTTGCAGGGCTGGCTCCTGGGTGCCCCGGCAGTGTCTGTGATGTACCCTCCTCTCTGCTCTGTACGTGAGGCTGCTGCGTAGCCACAGCCCCACTGACACCCCTGGGGATTCATCAGGGCACCAGAAGATCCCCTGCCTTGGATGGCACTGGTCTCTTGCAGCGCCTGGTTCTTCCCTCTGCCTCTGGAAGAAGAAAACAAGCTGTTGCATCAAGGGCCTCTGCTGCTGCCTGTTGCTCCTGGCTCTTCTCACGTCCCGTGTGTGTGCAGCCTTGCTGTGGAGAAGCCAAGAGCTGTCTGTTGTAGCTGCTACACGGCATTAGGCCTCTGGTCAAAGTCTTAACAGGTAAGGTGGTGGAGTAATGGCATCAAGAGACCAGTCTGGGGGGAGTGGGGAGCCCCAAACTATTCCAGAGAGGACATGACAAGATTCAGAACTGGCAAAAGACAGCCTGAGAGCAGGGCTCTTCTGTTACATGCTCTCTCCACAGGATGATTTGCCCTTTAAAGTTCTGCAGACTGGTATCTTACAAAGACTGAACCTTTAAGGACATTTTGTGTTGTTTTTTTTTTTCAATAAGCTGTGATTTCCTGTGCTCCAGCACACTCCTTGTGGCCCTGAGTAAGCTGAACATGCTGCTTCTTGGTCGTTCTGAAGTGCTTACTACAATAGTAGTGCTTATAGTGTTACTTTGCCTCGTTCAATACTGGAAGCCATTTACATTAGTAATTTGAATCCTAGGAACAGCAAATAGCTTGGTCTGAAAGCAGCCCTACGTGGAGCTGTTACAGGTTCCACAGAAGAAGCATTAAGAAAAGCCAGATATTATTTTCACTTATTCTACAGACACCTGCAAATGAAAATACTGTGGCTGCTTGTTCAAACCAAATACTTTGTCTTCAGAGAATCGCTTTATTACAGGAAAACATTCCTAAGCATGGAAGTGATGGAATCTTTTCCACAGTGATACTCTGCTGAGAGGAGTGAGTGTGGTATTGGACAGCCTATCATCATCCTCAGCTGACACTAGTCTTGGCAAAAAGCAAGTTACTTCCAGTTAAATACTACTTTCAGATACATAGACAACTTGATGCATCTCAAGTGAGGTAAGTCTGTACCCACCTTCAGTGGAAATCCTGCCTGGACAGAGCTTGCTGTTGGTCTGCTGACCAGAGTGCCTCAGGAGTAAAGCCAGAAGATTGTCCTTCTCAAGGGTTAAAGAACTAACAAAGCTTAAATTGCAGTGAGGAAGGCTTTGATTAGTGAAAGGCAGTGGAGTAGCTTGTAGAATCCCCATCCTACCATAATTAAATGCAGTAAAAATTGTTTTTTAAGAGGACCAGACAATGTGTAGAGCATTTGAGTTCCAGCTGGTCCTGCCATGGCAAAATGGGAAGAGTTGGGCGTTGTTATGGCACTTGTGTGCCTGCTTCTTGCAGTTCTGCAGTAAACCACGGAGGGTGAGTTCTAGTGCTTGAATAATGGGTAAATGTTGAATCTTGCACTTCACTGACCTAACAGCCTTCACTTTGGTGGCTTACAAAGTTCAGCAGTACCTTTAGTTACAGGAGGAAAGGTGCTTCACATGTAGCAGTTCCTGTCAATGGCCGCAGCCCATGGATATTGAACCAACAAAGATACATTTAATGTACAGCCAGGCAAGATGCCCAGCACTCTTCTTGCCTGGGATTAGCACTGGAGCTCCTGAGCCTGCTCATGATCACCCCCAGGCCCATCTGACCAGGGCTGTGACATGTCCTGAGATGTGGCTGTGCCCAGGCTGGAGTGGCACCACTGCATTTACTGGCCCTGCCCTGGTCTGCCAGTTCTCAAAATACTAATTTAAAAAAAAAAAAAAAACACCAACCACCCTTTCCAGGGACAAAGGTGCTCTAGAGAAAACAGTTAAAATACCTACAGCCTCCTTCTGCTGAGCACTCTGATGGTCCTCAGCCCTGCCCACCAGAGGGTCAGGCTCAGGGCTGCTCCTGGAGTAGGGAAGAAGCTGCACTGTTGCTACCTGATCACCTGCCTTGCTCTGCTCTCAGAGCTGGTTTAATCGAGCAACATTTGCATCCATTTAACCAGCAGCAGCCTTAAGTTCTGCCTTCTAAATACAGCCTGCAACAGTTTGTGACCTTCTAAGGTTCACTGAAGATTTTAGATGTTTAACTGAACAGGAATCAAACACAGCCATGCTTGGCAGAGAATTCATTTGGCTTCCCCAGCATGTTCTGGTAACCCAACTTGGTGCTAAGGTACAGTGATGGCAGGAGATGAAGGTTTTAGCTGTGGGATTTGGTCATAGTAGTTAGTGTTCTGTCTAAAATGATTGAGCAGTAAAATAAAGACTGTCATGTCTGTCAAGCTCAAGTCTTGCAGCTGTTTTCTCAAGCTGCCCGGTCCTGAGAACTTTACTTGTGTTGGTAACATCAATGCAGTCACAAATAATGGAAATGAAGAACAGTGTTACATTAGCTGGTGTGATGATGGCCAACATTCATCCCTGCGTAGGAATGGCTTTGCCTGGATACAATTAAAAATATGTAACTGGTGAAATCCCTCTAGACCCTCCCTGATGACTGGAATGTTGCACTGTTCTTCAAAAAAGGCCAGAAGGTCCATTGGAGACACGGCAGAGGCCTAAGGGTGTCACTTGAGTCCCTGGGAAAGTCATGGAGGAAGTAATTTCAGAGCATGGCTTTGGGCACATGTGGGAGGTGGTGGTGAGACAGTCAGCATGGACTTACTGAGGGCAAATCATGCCTGACACCTGCCTTCTGCAGGAACTTTGTGGACAAGGGAAGGAGCAGCAGGTGTTCTTCATCTCAACTTCAAGGCTTCAATGTTCTTCAACCCCAGTTGGGATGTTAAGGCCTGGATAACAAGGTGGGCAGGAAAAAATGGTTGGATGTTCAGGCTCAGCATCCTGGGTCAAAATGCTGGGCTTCACCTGGAGCTGGGATACCACAGGGGTCTGGCCTGGAGCTTGGCCTGATATCTTCCTCAAGGGCCTGGAGGCAGCAGCAGGTGCCCTGTTAGCAGGTTGGTGGAGGACACCAGAGGGGGAGGACCAGTCACTACACACAGGCAGGGCTGCCATCCAGAGGGACAAGACAGGCCAGGCAGGAGCCCAGGGGAATTCAAGAGGGGGAGGAGCTGAGTCTTGGTCTGCCAAGGGAGAAGCCCTTGCCCTGGGGGAGTGGCTGGAGTGGCTCTGGGCTCCTGGCAGGCCAAAGGCTGAGCATGAGCCAACAGCTCTCAGGCTGGCTGAACAGGACCAGAGCCTGTTGATGAGGAGTATCCCCATCAGAAGTCTCAGAGGCAGACCTTATTGCAGCCTTTGAATACTTAAAGGGGCATATAAGGATGAAGACAATATTTTTAGCAGGGCCTGTTAAAAACCATTGCCTTTAGTTGTAACTAAGGGCAGATTTAGACTAGGTACAAGGAAGAAATTGTTTACAGTGAGGGTGGTGAAATTCTGGAACATGCTGCCCAGAAATGTGGTCAATGCCCCATCCCTGGAAACATTCCAGGTGAGGTTGGACAGGGCTCTGAGGGTCCTGCTCTAGGTTCCAGGCATCCCTGCTCCCTGCAGGGGGGTTGGACTAGACCTTTAGAGGTCCCTTCCAACCCAAACCAGTCTGTGATTCGATGACTTGGCAGTCTGAGAGCAGTCAAGCACTGGAAGAGGTTGCCCAGAAAGGTTGTGCAGTCTGTGCTGAGAGGTTTTCAGGACCAAAATGGAGAAACAGTTCTGAGCAACACAAACGTTTCACAGGCAGGGGTGAAGCCAGCTCCTTGGGGTCCCTCAGAACAGCAGTGATCCTGGGATCCAGAACATAAGGGCAGCAAGAGGCAGCTGAACAGCAGCAGCACTCACAACTCCAAATCCAGTTAAGTGCTGTTAGTAGAGAGCTGTTGTTCCACGCTTCCACCCTTAAGACTGTATGCTGAATAAAAAAACATAGTAAACTCTTCTGCTTAGAAAACACTGCTGCTCTGAAGGAACTCTGACTCAACAAGCAATGACACAAACTCCAAAGGCAGAAATCCTGTCCCTCAGAAGATGACTCTGACAACAATTTTTTCCTGAGAAACCTACTGGTCCCAGATAACTCCAAAGAGGGCAAGGAAAAGGACAAGAGCAGTGTTACAACTTTTCTTCACACACGTTGAAATGAAACCAGGTTTCTCAGGAAGAAACTGTCACAGGTGTTCTCACATTCTCTTTCAGCTGGTACAGGCACAGGTACATGTACAGAAAGGAGTCGTTCACCATGAACATCACTTGTTCAATACTAACGTATGTTGCAGGAAGTTACTAAAAAGCCAGGACTCTGTAGCAGCTAATTCCTTAAGTTGTTTATTTATCATTGAAGAAACACACAGCAGCAAGTTCTGTGTTGGCTTCAGTACGACCAGATCGTTAATCGTTGTTACCGCACCCCAAAACTGAAGTCAACACAACCATTACTACAAACCACTGTTTTGGAAAGGGAAAGAATTGACCCTGAAGACAAAGAATTGGGGGAAAACTCAACAATTTCTCCAAAACCACACATTTTAAATATGACAATATTTATAAATCCTTGAAAGGCATGAATGATCCAGTACTGGAATATGCAGTTGAGATATTGGCAACAGAAAACTCATCGGCGGATGCTTCCCAAAACACTCCAGCTGTAAAAGCTCCGAGTTCTGTGTCCAAACACTGCAGCAGCAGCAGCAGTTACTGGAACAAGGACTTGCAAAGAGCCTCAGAGGCATCATGTCTTCAAGTTAATCTACAGAAAATAGCCTGTGTAGCCCGTGTTCGTAACGCTTATGGTACTTAATTCAAATTTAAACAACTTACCGAATTTAGATAGTGATAAAATACGTCTCCCAGAAACCACCTGCCCTCAAAGATAGCTATGTAAAAGAGGGCTTTTATATATTTTTTTGGCTAATTATGGAAATTCATTTAGCTCTGCTTTTTCAACAGCTCCACTGTGTGAACAGAGGTGTTTTCAAATGCATGTTCTGTGACGATAATACCCCATTCCAAATTAAGAAAGGCTAAAAATAAAAAGGTCAGGCTGCTTTGGTGCGAGATAGAAGCAGTACTCAAGACAGCTTTTGGGCTTGCTTCTTTTTATTTTAGCAACAAATGACCCATGAAATAAGCATAATTTGAAATTTCAAAATCTGGCTTCCAATTTCCAACCTTCTGCTGTGAGTTTTGTGCATGATCAATCTATACGAGTAAGTAATTCAAGCTCATGCTTTCATGTTACTTCAAAACATTTGTTAAAGAATTCCAATTCAGAATGTTTATAAGCACAAATATAATCCATGGATTCGATCAAATCAAAGCTAAAACATTGGTTAAACTCTGTGACTTTCACTTAACGTCGTACAGTGGTCCACCCTTCCTCATCTGTCTCGTTTTTAGTACGGCGTACGGGCTCACGCTCCTTTTCTGTTTTCCAGGAACCTTTCTCCTTCTCCCCCTCTCTTTCTCGATCCTTGGAGGCTGGAGGGGGAGCAGCAGCTGGAGGAGCAGCAGGAGCAGGAGCCGACCGCCGCACCGTTTCCCGCTCCTCTCCGCGTTCTTCTCTCTTGTCGTCAGCACGCCGCCAGGAGCTGGCTGCAGAGAGACAAGGAAACAACCCTGGTCACGCTCCACCAGCAGCCTGCAGGAGTTCAAACACACCCACCCCCAGCACCAAGGCTGATTCAGGGAGGCTGGCCAGGAGGTAAGAGGATGATGACAGCCAAGCGCACAGTCTAATTTTCTAGTGAAGCAATGGACAGGAGCTACTGGAGCCTCTTCTCAGAGTCAGGCTTGTGAGCAAACCAAGTGTCATCTTTAACACAGTAACTGCAATAAGAAGGTTCTATTGATATACATGTTTTTATGATGTAAAAGTGTAGTCTTGTATTATTATCAGAATTAAAAGTACAAAAACGTCTCCTTAGAAATGACTGAACCCTGAAAACACAAAAATATCAACCTAAAAACACTGGTGGAAAATGTTTAGGTTGTTCACTGTCTCAAAAGACAGCAAATTGCTCTTCAGCCTACTGAAATCAGAAGTAAAAATGGCACTGGATTACACAACTCCACTGGCAACAGCATTCACTGTGTGAAGAATTGTTCATTTCCACCAAAAGGATGCTAGGAATTCTCTGCCCCAGCTCTGTGTGAACAGAGCCGTGTCCAATACCAAACCAGATAGTCAAGTATCAAAGATTCTTAATACATTAAAATAAATAAGCACGAAGTCTCCACATGGAGAACCCTCTGCCTTTAGCTGAAGCCCTGAAGGTCATGTCCACGTGGGACTCTGAACATCAGAATGCCAGAACTGGGAGATGTGGTAGCTCAGGGTAAATGTATTTGCCGTGACTGTATTTTTAGAACATAGCAAAGGATTAATAAAGGTACATAATTAAAACAGGTTAAGGTATGTAATTAAAATAGGTTATTCATCAAAATATGTAATGCTAATAGTGTGAAACCCATGTGGCCTTGTTTGGAAATACTTCCCTCACATTTTAATGGTTTTAAGAAATCAGCCAGAAATTACTTTCTGGGATGTCTATCTTGACAATTTACAGACAAGAATTTCACTCACCCTGAATGTAATCTTTCCACAAAAACTGCACACTTAAAATGCCACTATGCCAGAAAAGAGTACAGCCAAAAAACAGTTGAAATTCAAGGAAGAATTCTCAAGTACACTGCAGCTTCTATTACTTTGCTTACGCAAAGGAGTTTAAGTGGCTGAGAATCCAGCTTGCTCTGACGGAGCTAAGATGGGCCATGATGGGAGCAGCACAAGGCCCTACCCCAGCTGTAAGGCTTTAGGAACATGGGATACACGTACGTTCTTCACGGTCAGGTCTGGGTGGGGGTCCTCTTCTGACGGGTGGTTCTCTGTCATCAGTACGTCGATCTCTCATGTCACGGCCACCTCTGTCCCATTCTTCACGACGACCTGAATCTCTCCAGCTAGAAGTTTCCTCAGCTGGTCCTCTCCTCCAACCGGCGTCATCCCTTTTGCCATTCAAAACAGAAAATAAGACTAAATGTTAAGATTTTACCTTTGCTATGGAAAGAAGCAGTAATAAATCACAACATAGATATTTTCAGGCCCAGTGGGATCTCTTTTACTGACACACTTCCAAGAGCACTTCTGTTTCTCCAGAGCCTAACATTAAATTCTCTTGATAACAGGTTAAAAGAAAAAGAAAAAAAAAAAAAAAATGGAAACAAAACAGCACAAAAAAACCAACCCACAACATTAAAAGCAGTAAAGCATTCTGGGATTCCTTCTGTAAATAGCTAATGTTGTCTTAAAAATAACAAACCAAGGGCCCAAATTGCCACTATCCATTTACTGCCTTCAAGTGCTTAATTTCCTACAGACCAACCACTGTTCCTTTCACTCAGCAATGTCACATTATTTCTTTATCAGCAGGGCACTTTGTTTTGGAACAGAAACATTCCAGAAGCATTTCAGCAGCGAGCTCAGACCTGGGACGCCGGTAGCGGTCGTCTCGATCGAAGTCTCTCTCCCGGTCGAATTCCCGGTCCTTCTCGTTCTCCTCACGCTCCTTGTCTCTGTCCCACTCACGCTCCCCGGCAGGTCTGGAGTCCCGGGGAGGCCCCCAGCTGTCCTCACGAGCCTTTTCTCGTTCTCTCCAGCCCCCTGCCAGAAACACAGTCAAAGGATTTGTGACTGACCTCTGATCTCTCTGCAGACAAAGAATCCTTTGCTTCCCTCGCAGTAACTGGTTCTTCAGGTTTGTATCCCTTAGGATCAAATTCAAGATGCTGGAAGAAGCATCCACAGTGAGCAGGAACCACAGACAGAACGGCAGGAACTGCTTCATCTACAGTGACAGAGACCTGGCCTGCCAGCTGCCTGGAACAGTTCCATCGAGCTGGTGACACCCTGAAGCTTCTGCTCAGAATCCACAAACCCCCCAAGGGTCTCAGGCAAAACCAGTGCAGGAAGATGTAAAAGGAGGAGCTTGGTACTGGATTCCTCCATGAAAATATACACATGAGGGGATCTTAGACAACCAAATTTTTTAAGAATTCAGTACTTCTTGAAGCACTACTTCAAAATACAGTTTACCATCTCCTTACAGAGCGCAGCCTGCAATGTCACTCACTTATCTATTAATGGGAGTCCTTTATTATGCACCTTGATTTTCTTTAAACTCCTGTTTAAGAAAGGAGAAAAGGAAAAGGAGGCAGCTGTCAGAGTGTGAGTTTTGAGCTTTTCTACAGGTGTCAATTACAGAATTAGTGTCTGTAAAAGTTGATGTGGCACCTGTGAATACATAAATCCAACTAAAAAGAACCAGGAAATCCAAATAAGATATAATGTCTTCAGCAGTTCTGAAAAGAATCAGAAATTGTTCTTCTAGTCACCATCAACAAGATGCAAGACTAGAAATAAACTGCACAACAACGGAGTAATTCTGGTTGTCAGGCACCTGAGAAGGTCTTCTAGTCCAAATTCCTGCTCAAAGCAGGTTTTTCAAGAAAGGGAGACAGAAAAGCAGAAAAAGGAATGGTAAAAACATGAATGTTTTTGTACACATAAAAAAGGTTTATCAAAATTAGTCCCACTCGAATGACTATCAAAATCCTCCTTAGAAGAAAGTTCATTTCAGACACATAGAAAAAGGGGGCAGGGAAAG